TATTAAATAAACTACTAATAAATATTAAAATAATTTTATATTCATTTTTTTTCCAAATTTGTTTAATAAAATCTAACCAAAAAAAAATATACCTGGCAAGTGTTTTGATGATCTTTCAATGTTATATCACAGGAATTATACCTTTTTTATTAAAAATACTAGATGATGTAATAACACATAAACTATATATAATAGGAAAAAAATAGTAGTTATTTTATACTACAATAAATAATACTGCAAAAATCAGAAAAATTAAGAAATGTGATGATGATTTTACCAAAAAAATGTAGAAAATCTTATTGATGGTTAGTAACATAACTGCTAAATTAAATATTAAAGAAAGATTGCTGTAATAACTTTGGCAGATTTATAGCTGATTTCATCTCAATCAATACTTTTGTCAAAGGCTTAAAGTTCTTTAGAATGAAATAATGCTGTTATTTGAAGAATCAAAACTGATCAATTAAGTATGCTAGCCAATCAGAAACATCAAGCCAGTTACAAGTTCATTTAAAAGTTCTAGTAAGCAATAGTATTCAGAAATATTAGCTTAACTGTCTAGACTCAATTCAAGCAAATTTTTGATCAAATAAGGGATGAAAAAGGATTTAATTCAAAAATATATCTCCATGTAGTGATGGAAATTTGTGCACTTGAAGGAAAAATCAAAAAAATACGATTCAAGGGTTTATAAGAAAATATCAAAATAGAAGTTATTACATTAGCACATTATGTTGGTTTATGGATAGTAAAAATAATAAAATTTTAGATAGTAATGTAAAGCAATAGGAAGAAACTCACATTTTATAAATTCCTTTAAAACATCTGCTACTCCATTTATTAGTTTAGCTGACTGAACTTTTTTTGACATTGATAATCTATTTACAAAATAAAGATGTGCATGTATATTCTATTTCAATTTATTAAACATACTATATTCACTATAATGTAATTTAATAAAATACTAACATACATGTATTGATTTCACATACATTACTATTTTTTATTTATAACAAGAATACTGATCATCTGAATATAATGAAAATTTCATACTACTCTGTTTCATCCATCAAATCTTCTTGATCATCAAATTTTCTTGATTTTCTTTATAGCTGAAATAAAAATTTCCACATTAGAATGCAATTGTTGCAAACTTATTGTGTAAAGTCACGTACCTAATTTTTCTATTAGCTTTTTAATGACTGGTCCAAAAACACATAATAATCATGAGATCACCATATTCATTAAACTGAAACAACTTTGATCTTTTGCCAGCTCTATGTGAAAGTTCTACTAAAACATAAATATGTTTTTTACCCACTATGGAACTTTTTTCCTCATGATTTTTTGCATGTTTAAAGACCTTGGATATCTGGTAATTTTCTGTATTTTTAGCGTAGTTCAAGTCATAATCCAAATCAGCATAGTTAAGATCTTTCTCCTCCTTTTCTTCTGAGTTGACCTCTTCATTATGTGTTAAAAATTGCCAAAACCTATTTGAAGTTATTCTGGTTTTTTACAAGAAAATTCCTCCTTTTGATCCTTAATTTAAGAATTTTTCCTCTTTTGCTTTAAAACTATGCTTTATTTCCAATGGAAACTGAAAATTTTGATGAACCAATTATTTGCAACTCAGCTTGTAAAAGAAAATCTGCAGTATGCTGACAAAATCAATAGTCAACTCATAAAAGAAAGTCTACAAGCTGAAAGATTAGAAATCATAAAACAACTCACAAAAAGAAATAGAATTATATTTATGTATATTTTATAAACAAATATAAGTATATGTTAGTAGGTTACATTAATTAAACTAAATTTATAAATAAAATAAATAGATAACATCCAATTTGGGCTTATTGTTTTTTACATATTGTGTATACAATATATCATTGGGGTGTACTGTCAATCAATCAAATCAAAACTATATATAGTACCATATGAAAATTTACTATTGAAGATTTTTTTCTAATATTAGTATAGTTTATTCTGGCATTTTTTTCAAAATTTACATTACATTACTAATTTTTTATAAATTTATTATTTGTAAATTGGCAAATATTTGAATGGGCTTTTTTTTACATATTTAATAAATTATTAAAAAAATTTGAAGCAATTTCTACTCTGAATTGTGATAGCTGAATATTTTGCAATAGAATATTTTTTTGTATCTTTCTTTAAGTCAAGATCTGCTGTCAAATTTTCTACTTCAATCTTGCTTGATGCTAGCTGAAGTTTTGATTGTTTAAGAGATAATGACATGTTTTTAAGAGATAATGATATGTTTGCATGTGGTTTTAAATCTAGTTTGTTGAAAAGTCTCTCGACTTGTTGTTGGTGAATTATAATAAATATATATGTATTTTGACAAAATTATAAAGTTGAGGGGCTTGTTTTGAAATGCATGGCATTTCCCATTAAAATATTCAAAAACTTAAAAATTAAATAACTCACGTTTTATTAGCATTAAAGCAATGCCAAATATATGAATGAATATATAATGACTTAAAGTAACATGTATTACTTCATTTTTTTTGAAAGTTTCCTAAAGAAAAAATTTTTTTTCAGTCAAATTGTTTATTTAATTGTTTTTAAAGTATTAATAATATTGTTAATTTTTTTTTAAAAAATAGGGTATTTCATAGAAGAGGCAGTTATTTTACAAAATTTGAAATGATAATATCAAAAAAAATTCAGAATTATTTAAAAAATAAAAATATGATAGTTTAATAAAAAATTTATTATAAGGCCAGTTAAACTATATCAATCACCACGCATGTAATATGCAAATCATTTTCATATTAAAAAAAATTCATGTAACTATATTTGAGTTACTTCATTTTATGATAAACCGTCAATTTTAATATGTAACTTCCATACAAATTAAGTAATTTTATAGAACATCATGTGCTTTACTAGTCTCTGAAGTTAATTTCTATTTTTGAAATTTTTTTTTTCTCTTCGCATATACAAGAAGTTTACGTTAAAAAATGAACTTTTTTTGAGATTCTTTTAAAAGTTTGGATAAATATATAGTTTTAATAGCAAAAATATATGTAATTTTGCAAGAGAAACAAGATTTTCTAAGAGTTTAATAGTAGTTATTCAGGTAGTTTTTGTATAAACACAAAAAAATTGATTTTTTTAATAAAAAAAGAATTTTTACTTCAATAAATTTTAATGAGAATCCTTTAACTAATAATAATTATTTTGTTTTTAGGTGTAACTTTTCAAAAGAAACAGCTTTTATTAAGTTAATAAGGTCGGTCACCTAATAAGATTATTGAATTTATCAAATTTTCTCTATTTTTTAATATGAAATAATGATAAAAATTTATTTATTATAGGAAAAAAAGAAGGGAAGAGTATTATTAGATTTTTGAATAATATATTTGTTTTAAATTAAAAAAAACTACAAAATTTCATTATTTTCAATAAATCTACTTTTGTCCAATCATGTTTTAATATTAGATTCCTATTTATTTCATCACGAAATTTTGTTATTTTAATATTCAAATTGTTTTTTAAATTAGAAAATAGTTTGTTTTGTAATTAAAATCATTGAAATAATAAAGAATTTTTAATACTATTATACAAATATAATGAAAAAAAGGAAAATTTTTCTTTATAGATTCTGGGTTTATTTGAAAATTTATTTGAATTAATATTTTTTTAAGCTTTTTTTTTGTTATAAAATTATATAAAATACTTTCTATCTTAATTTGGAGTTTTAAATTATTTACTATATTTGACAAATTTCAAGTTTTTCTTATTATTCCTTATTTTTAGCAAATAAAATGTACCAACTTCTAGTTAAGATCCACCTTAAAAAACAAAAAGTGTTTGAAGAAATTTTTCAACACACTCTTAGATGTTGTCAAGAAGTATTATTTTCTATATTTAGTTTGAAAGTTATTTTATATAAATGTGATGTTACATTTGAACTGCATTTTTCAATTTTTATCAAATTTAGGCCGGCATTATAAAATTGGCCGGAATTAAGCAAATTTTGGCCAGAAGTATGGATTCGAAAATCATCAATTTTAACCAATAAAATTTATTTTAGCCGATTTTGATCTACATACATAAACTTTAAATTTTATTACATGCGCAGTGATTGATATAGTATAAAATAGCTTAATATGAAAAAATCTTCAATAGTAAAATTCCATATATAGTTTTGATTTGATTGATTGACAGCGCATCCCAGTATATCATGTGCAAAATTGGTATACATTTTAGGGGGTGGGTAAAGAATATATAGTGTAACATAAGATTTTATATATTATGTGGGGCGGGGTTAAGACTTATAACAAAATGGATATTCGTAATATATGACACTGTCTTTATCCATCCTTACAATATTATCTCCTGAAATGTATTGCGATTTATAGTGATTTATAGCAGTTTGTGTCAAGTTTATTATAATAAAATATTGGATCATTGTTAGAAAGAAGGAAAAAATGACAGTTAAATGAAATTTTAAGACTTGAAAGCGGATTATATGTATTTTATTAGACGCGTCCCTTGAACGCAAAAGCATATTTTACTATATCTGATATTATTTTATTTTATATCGATTATACTCCTTAAATGGTTCACTAATTAACGATTGTTATACATATGGAAGATCGGTTACGGCACGATTTCCCGACAAAACATTTTCCCGACGTGTTTGGCCTGAGTTATGCAGAGTTATGCACGAACACGTGATCAACAGCCAGCGTTAGGCTGTCGGTAAAAATGTCCTGATTCGGGAAACGGTCCGTAAGCGAGACTATTTGTTAAGATACCTTCTGTTTCAAATAAATTCAGAAAAGAATATAAATGGAAATGATGAATCTCTATTAATACTAAATCTTCAAGCTGAATGGGAACCCAAAGTGAAAAAAACTCAAATTTTCTGAATGTGTTCATGAATTCACGCGCAAACGTGTATAAATCTACACGTGGGCCGTCACGGATTGTGGATATAAAAATGCGAATTCTTCAAAAAAGCAAATCATCTGTACACTTGCCAACTCTCTCGCACTATTGTCAATACCTCACCATCAACAGATAATTTCCATCGTCTTTAACATGCACTTCCCAAAAGCAAACTTCGTTTTATGTCTAATGGCCATTATTGCACTAATACTCGCTTCACCAACGTTCGGAATAGGTATCAAGAGATCCTTACAAAAAAGGGGTTGCGGTGATTTGCCTACCTGTGGAATTTTTAAATACCAGGATCATGCAGATATAGACGTAACGCACTGCGTCTTCGGTTCCAACCTCTACGCTTGTATCAGAGAAGGTAATCATCCTTGTGCATGTGATAACTGTACCGACAAAGGTAATGACAACTTTCACTGTGGTGGTTGTGGCTGTATGGAATGGTGCTAGAGTTAAGCTGGATTAACTCTAGGATAAAAGTATCAGATTAGTTTACGAGATTCCTTTTTTTTAAATAGCACATATGTAAATTTTAATTCAGTTTTTATTAGTTTATTTGATAGTTTGGTGATTCTTTCATTATATTTATTACAATTATGTAATGATTTCTCATTTGACTGCACCATAGCATAAGTTTATATCTATAATTTTAATTTAAAATAATTTATATTCAGTTAATAAACTTCACATAATTTAATATTTAACTTTGATCTAGAAACTAAAGTTCTGTTGTTCAAGTTAGATTTATACTCTGATTCGAGTCAAAAAAAAATTCCGACTCAAATTAAAAAGTGACTTGAGCCAACTCGAATTATTTGAGCACAAGTCTGATGTTATTTTATCATGTATACTGTAATGTTATGGAAATGCAAACATTTTTGTTATTACGCATGTTTGGTACTATTTTTCAACCTCCTTTTTTTCCTAAATTTTGAAGAGTATCAATTAATTCTAAAAAAAGTTTGATAAATATAGATATAAACTGCAAAAACTGTTCAAAACAAACAAAACTCTATTAAAACTTTAATTAATAATTTAAATTTAATCCCCTAAAATGCAGTACGGGTGCCGTCCTAAATCCCGATCTCAACTGGTCCTGGTACTGTGGTACAAAATCTCGACAATTCCAAAATCCCGAAATTCAAATAATCATGTATTTTTCCTAAAAAAATTTCCTAATTCTGATAAAATTCCTAAAATTAGGAAATTTTTTTAGGAAAAATACATGATTATATTATTAACGCAAGAAGTAAAGTTTAATACAATTATTAAAGCAAATGATTTAGAAATTTATTCTTTAAGCAAATTTTTCAGCAACGATTTAAATTGGTTACGGAACCACGCAAATTGTCGAGATTTAGAATTTATTGACTGTCAAGATTGTGGGTGTCAGGATTTTGTGGTAAACCAAAACGTACATATCAATTCTTATTTTTAATTTTACTAATGTGGTTTTGATTCTCTTATTCTCTTTCATTTTATTATATTTGAAAAGCGAGCCGTACCTATACACTTGAAAATAACAGACGAGGTGGTTCTACTTTAGCGAGATTTTACATTAATTATAGTTATGATTTAAAAAGCACTTATATTGTATTTGTTTTTAAAGATTTAATTGTAAGAATTATAAAGATATTCTTGATGTGTTAGTCACACTACCAACATTAATCTGCTAGGATCAAATTGACCACGAGAATTAATATTTTTATTAACTACTGTATTTCCTTCATTCTTTTAAAATTAATTATTTAAAAGCGGGTTCGTTTTGTTTCGATAAAATCTTCAAGATTATAGAATATAATAACAAATAATTGCCTGTGAATACAATTTGCTAAAAAAAAATAAGTCAGAAAAAAAAGCAATTTAACTTTCTTATTTTTGCTGGAGAAATGTTCTTGAGTAACATGAAATAAATCACGTGCATCGTTATGAATCTTTATTTTACGAAAAAAATAAAATCTACTTAACCCATTATCAAATGCTGTATATAACTTTAATATTGTCCATTTATGATATAAATAGGTAATGGTCCTGGTTTAAATTGCTCATTATTTCTGATAGTCTCTTATTTTTCACATATATAAGTGAATTCTTTTCGAAATACGATAATAGAATAGTTCATTTCATCATAAATACTTGAGCGTATCATATATCTTGATAAAAATTAATGTCGTACGGATAATACGTTTTTATGCATTTATTTTTAAATCCTTTAGACTTTAGCCACATGTAAGTTTACAAAAATAAATCATTCATATTAAAATCTCAATAATAGCGGATAAATGTTTATGTGTATATTCCTGATAATTATAGCTGACATTCTGAAATTCGGAACCAATTATATATAATTTATCATGAGATCAAATCAAGTCAAAACAACAAATAACGATAGGAGAAAAGTTGCTGATGATATAAGTATTGAAGTTTCTACGTCTAAGGAAATAAGACGATATTTAAATTATCCAAATATGCATAATATATATTAATAATCATGATTCTTTAATAGATGATTCATGATTCATTAAATGAGTTTGTTTGAATAAGCAGGTCAAAACAAACTGGAGATGGATGCAATGGTATATTTTACTTATAAAAAAATATTCCTGAATCGCATCGGGCTGGCTTGATTAGTGTTAGTTTGTAAAATTTTACTTGTGGCAGAAAAAAAAAATTATATTTCGATCACCAGTTTTCTGACTTTCCTTTTTTAATATAATTATTTTAAATAAACGTTCATATTTCTCGACAAAGTGATATTTATTACTAAGAAAGAATAAAATGAATCACAAAAAAAAATTTAACTATAATATAAAAAGAAATCTTTCTTATACCGTATATGTGTAAAAAAAATGTACACATTTTTTAAGCAATTTATATTTTCGAAAAGCCGATATTAGAAATGTAAGATTGTCGATAAAAACTAGGCTGGATTCGTTGAGCATAAAATCTATATGTTTTTATAAAAGTTTCATATTCATAAACTTCTCTTTCATAAGTTCGGAGTAACTTATCGTACTCGGTCGGAGTGATACTCATAAATTCAAGGTTATTCCTTTTCATCAACTTAAAAATTGGTAATCCAATCTCTAAATACTAAATTGTATGAAAAAAAAAAATATTATTATTATAATTCTTTTTTTCAAGAACGAATAAAATTTAAAAATTTCTTACCTTGATTCCGCCCCATTCTCCGATAGGACATATTTTTGCTTCGGTTCTTACATTAAAGAGGCTTCTATTAGATTTCAACATTCTTTGCAATAATGGTTTGATAATGGGACTAATACCTCTGGTGTGCATTGCTGAGAGGACTAAATAAAGAAAAAAATTTTTAATTTTTAGTTTTAAAAAAGAAATGCTTCTATTTTATTACTTACACGCTTCGAACAACTTTTTTGTAGTTGGACCTTGGCAATAAGGAGCTAGGTCCATTTCCATTATCTCGATGAATCCGTACGGTCTTGTGACCCTTGCCAATTCTCCAATAATGTTTTTCCACTGTTTAGTGTTAAAATCTCGAACCAGAAGCCGTTGATGAACGAAATCGAATGTAAATGTTTCGAAAGGAAGGTCATAAAGTACATTTACAATAAAAAATCGGATGTTTCCTGGTAAGTTATCAGTTGGAAATAACGGAGTTACGTCAACGCCGTAATATTCATTGTTAGGGTACATCCTAGCTAATTCGAGTAGCCAAGTCCCTGAACCGCATCTGAAGGTTACAAAAAGAAATTGAAAATATTTGTAAATTGACGAACGATAATTTCGGGTTACTAACCCGACGTCCAGAATCCTATATCCTCCAACTTTGAGCTTTTGTTCGATTGGGGAAGAGAAATTTGATTTCCATAGATTTGACATGTACATGTTTTGAGAAATTTGTCTTTCAATTTCGGGTACTAGAAACGTATTATTATGATTATATTCCTGATAGGATTCATCATCGGGAATCGACCTTCTAAAGCAGAAGTTTTTCATATTTAAAAAAAAGATGGGAGAATAGTGAGTGAATAAAAGAATGAAATTACGTAAATTAAGTTTGACATCAATTCAATTCTCATAAGCGCCGTTTAAATACATCTATTTCTACGGTTTTTCGAATACCCAATTAAAAAAGCTACATAAAAGCGGCTAAATATAGTTCCTATAAATATATTGCCCCCTTGAAATTTTTGCTCCAAACCGTAACACAAGATTTTCTAGCTTGCCGCGTACTTTATCCGAATAGTTTATCCTGATTTGTACAGTAATTTAAACTATATGCTGGTTATAATCGGTTATTCAAAAAAAAAAAATTTACATAATGATAATTTTTTAAATCCAAAATTTAACCACATGCAAGGTATAGTACCATTAAATAAGTATCTTTTGTTATCAAGAATCTCATATTGTCAAGTTCAATCCAAATTTAAATAACTGCCACCATGTACAGACATTTCCTTAATACATGCATTCTCCCCGAAGATATTTTCAGCTTTACCATATACTGTATAGTGTTGTGTTTGGAAAATATACATAAACTCATTTGTAATTTGTCAAGGAAATGCAAGACGCAGTATAATTGACATGAAAAATTTGTTGACGTTCCATGTTTATAGTGATGGAATAATTGGGACTATTGGACTTGCATTATTGAACTAATTGGAGATTATCCATTCCAAATCCAATTGAGTTCTTATTTATCAAAGTAATAACTGATAAGTCATAGTTCTAAAAGCATATTTAAGGTAATAATTATAATAAAAATAAAGCTTATTGATTATATTAGTTATAATTTCTAACCTATTAATACAAGCAGAATTTACTGTTTTTTATCTATAATAAAAGCAAATTGATTTTAGAATAATTATATTAATAACTTAATTTACAAAATTTAGAATTTATTTATTTGTTAAATTATTATTTGAAGAAAAAAAGAAATGGATTCTTTCAGTTTTATGATTAAAGTATATATATATATTTTTTTATTTACTACTTTTCAATTCTTTTTATTTTTGGGTTTTGTTATTATTGTTTATTTTTGATCTTGATTTTTCCTTTTCATTTTTTACAGGTTTCAGACTTTTAGATTTTTTCTTTATTTTAGATTTCAGTAACTCTCAAATTATTCTTTTTCTTAGATTTGCCAATTCTTTTTAAATAAATAGTTTTGTTTCTATTGTTTTTTATTTTTTATTTGTTATTTCCTCATTTTTATTACTAATAATTTTTCATTTTCTTTTCCTTTCATAATCTTTTTATTGTTTCATTTTTGTTCTATTTATTTTATTTCTGTTTCATTTTTGTTCTTTTTCATTTTATTTCATTTCTCTTCATTTTAATTTCCTTTTCTTTTTATTTTCTCCTCTTATCCCCTTCCTTTCCCTTTTGTTTTCATTTTCATTTTTTTTTCTTTTATATTTCATTCTTTCATTTTATTTCTTTTGCCCTGTTTCTTTTTCATTTTTCCCTTATATTTTCTTTTCAGTTTTTCTTTATTTTCTTTTATTTTCTTTTATTTTCTTCTTTTTATACTTTTTTTACTTATTTTTCTTTTCCTTTTGTTTTTTCTTTTGTTTTTATTTTTATTCTTTTTTTTCTTATTTTTCTTTCAATTTTACTCTCTTGCTTTTTATTTTTATTTTTTTTCTTTACTTTTATTATTCTTCATTATTTTTATTTCTTTCACTTTATCTTTTTATCTTCCATAATTTTATCATAATTATTAATATTAATTATATCAAAAATAAATACTTGTAAAGTTTTATTTTAAACAATTGTATTTTATTTTTCTATTAATAATGATAAACTTTCAAAAAAATAAAATACAAATAAATTTAAAATGTTTTTATAAAAAAGATTTGCTATACTGCAGATTTTTCTTTTTAGCTATTACTGAAAATTCAAAGTTAAAAAAATTAGCCAATCAAAAATAAGCTAATCAAAATGTTTATTACATAATAAAGGTAAATAATAATATTACTCATTCAGAATAAGAAATAAATTTACCTTTAAATATAAATATTTTTATATTGTTGGAGGTTTAAAAAGTTTATTTATTTATTATTAAATATTTTATTTTTTAAAATAAAGCAGAATACTAAAGAGCAATGAAAGAAAGTTATAGTTACATTATATTATAAAATGTTTTAGATATAAAATAAGTTCCTTCTATCAGATATACATAAAATTTCACATATATTGATAGCAGCACTAAAAGTCTATCAATTTTCCACTTAAAATTCCAAATATATAAGCTATATCTATTAATAAAATAAATGAAAACATATAAAATAAAACAAAAATAAAAAAAGAAAAAAGAGAAAAATAGAAAAATAAAAATAAATATATATTATAAAGTACATAAACGGTAAGTATAACTGTATAAGTCAATCAGAAATTGACATTCATTATAGTCTCTAATTAGAAATAACTGAATATAAAGCCTAAATATATTATTTAAAGAGAAATTACATAGGTTATTTTCATAATTATGATTAAACATAAGTCTATATATTAAATCATATAATTTGGCAAAATTCCAATATAGTTGTTTCATTTTGTTATTATACTTAAAGTAAAAGTGATTTTCCATATCTATTGTATAGCTAGCAAGTTTTAGAATATAATAAAAAACATATTTAATTTTGAACGTGATAATATTCAAAAGTAGTTAGAAGGTATTTTTATTAGTAATCTTAATTATTTGGATAAAAAAATTGGTAATAAAGAAATAAACAATATTTAAAAAAAGAGAAGAAAAAGGTAAGTTATTTGAAAAGTTTTATTAAACTAGTAAAAGTTTTTCAGAGATAATCTTTGTATAGATATTTTTTAAATTGTAAAGCTATTATATGCTTTTTGATAGTATTATTTAGTATCTTAAAGAGTATAAGCCTATTATTAGTATATAAATTATTATTGTAAAAAAAGTTTGTAAAATCTAGCTCATCAGAAATATTTGCTGGTTGAATGGGATATTTTAGAAGTTTATATTTATGAATACGTAAATTAACTACCATAATAAAATATCAATCCCTATAAAGGTAAATAAAAAAAAAATAAAATCTTCATTAATATAAAGTTTATTGATAAACTTTTTTTATATTATTAGATCAGTTTTTCATTTAGTTAAAAGATGTTTAAATTGTTTACATTTATAGTAAGCTTTATTTTGAGTGATATGTCTTTTCAAATCATCTTTAGTCCAGAAATCTTACAAAATAAAAACTATAAAAAAAAGTGAAAAATTAAAAAATAAAAAAACTAAAAATCATATTGAGCTTTTTTTGTCAAGATAAATTTGAAGTTTTGTACAAGTGTATTACTAAGTAAAAAAATAAAATACTAAAAAAAATAAATGAAAATAAAAAAAAAATAATTATTTAATTTTTAGACATAAATGTTAGTAGAAAGAGTTCTCTTAATATATAAAATATTGTAATATTATATTTTTAAATAAATAAGATACTTTTAGTAAAAAAAAATAATAATTAGCTATTTAAACTAAAATATATATGATAGTTTTTTATAATTAATTATTTTTTTAAAAATAATTAATGATAATTTAGGTTGAAATTTACAAAATTATGAAAAATTTTGGCCTATTATATATGTTTTAAATTTGAAATCAATTATATAAAAATCATTCAAATTTAAATACTTATAACTTTTTATTTAGATATCTATTTAAAAATCTGGCTGGTAGTTTAATAGTATTTATCTTAAAGAACAAAATTACTGGTTTAGTTTTTGGTTTTTTTAAGGTAATAAATGGTTTGACATTCTTAATTGATCAACTGAGTCACTGAGTATGGATATTGACCAACCATCTGAAACTTCAAACTGATTATATGTAAGCTTTTCTTTCTCACCTAATGCATCTCTTATTAAAGAAATTAAGATAAGTAAATTTATAATTTGATTAATGAGATAGGGAATTTTATGGATTATGTGTTTAAAACAGTAAGATGTGAAATTCGTGATCTTACTGGAAAAAAAATTGGGAAAGAACCTGTAAAAAGCTTTTACTATAATAAATAGAGAGGATTCAGTGTATGAAATCTATTTGTAGAATTTGCAGAGCGCAACCTACTTTTTAATTTCCGCTAGTTTGCGTATAGCGCAACTTATAATTTTAAAATTTTGTATTTTAAAACTTAAGCGGAGTGCGCAAATCGGATTTGTTTTTGCACAAATTGCATGTGACTTTTGTTGCGCATTGCGCAAAAAGTACAGTAATATTCATAAACAGATGGATAGCAAGATTAATAATTTAGATAGCCTATATTACATTTTTAATTAATTTACATTTCATCATTAATGGAACTAACACAACAATTACCTATAATGATTGGGGTTCTTGCGATAATTAAAATTTTTCCATAAATTCTTTACCGCGTGTAGTGACAAATTCAAATGATAGTTTTATTATTATATTATATGTAGTAAAATAATTTGTTTTTCAAAAATTTACAATGTAAAAATTTTTTTTAAAAGAATATAAAATTGTTTTTTTTTGAAGAGGATAGTAGGAAAGAATGTTTTCGTAATGATTTAGAAGTCTAGTTTTTATCTTCTATTTTTCACTAATAAATATTACTAATATTTCGATCTATAGAACATTTTAGAGAAGATGGTATTAAGTTCATCTATATGCTTTTGGTTCTTAAAATTAAGCCAAAAGAAAAGCGTAATATGTCATTGCATGTAATCTTTCAGCAGAAAAATTCAAAGCTAAACGCATAAATTCATTTGCTATCTTAGGTTCATTCATGAGTAATAAATCATAATCGGCCCTTCTCATTTGCCATAATACACAATCCACTTCAGCTATCAAAGTTGCTTCTCTAAGTTTATTCGCAAAAAATCCAAGTTCTCCCGCCATTGTACCAGGTAAAATACTTTCTACCGGTCTAGCTTGATCACCTTCCATTGCTCTCCATGTTGCTTTGAGTATACCTTTTTCTACTAGGTATAAACAATCTGGCTCAGCATCTTGACGCCATAAAATTGCACCCGATGGTACTTCTATTTCGTGGAAATATGGCTCTAATCGATCAAAGAAACCTTCTTCCTTTCCAGAAATATCTTGGAATGCTTCCATAAGAGCTGCCGTAAGTTTGTTTGCATATTTTACAACCCTTTCTTCTTGATCTAATATACATAGCTCAAAATTTTAGATTCGTATAAAGCAATGAAAAATTTTTTTGAAATAAAAAAAAAATAAAAAAAAACTGACCTTGTAATATTATATTACCCACAGCTTGAACGAGATTCTGGCGTGGACTATACATGTCGAAGATATCTTTGGGCGGTGTTTGATTCCTAGGTTGAGTAAGAAGTCCAGCTATAAAAAGTTAATGAAAATTAGAATTATCCTTTTTTTATTTATTACACGTATTAAACAAAATATTAAATAAATTCGTACCAGTTTTATTTGCAGACAAGGGAGCGGAAATGTTTTTTCCATAATATGCTTCTAATAATACATTTTCGCACCATTCTAAAGCCTCGTTAAAATTCTCAAATATTTGTAAATAGCTATTGGATGAATCTCCCCAAATTCCAACAGATCTTAGAGCTTTTCCAATCTCAGAATTATATTCAGCTCCACAAAGTACAAGATAAACATTTTTTGCTGATAAAAGTCTTTGTATTCTAATAAATGCTTCTGCTGCACTGAAATCCAATCCATTAACAAGGGAAAAATCGACAATTAAAAAGCGGATTGGATTTCTTTTCCATTGACGATAAGTTAAAAATTTTCGAATTGCACGCTCGACACCACTAATTGTACCGAAAAACATATAGCCTTGTAATTTAATTACATATATTTGGTTTCCGACTTCTTTCAAGAATTTTTGTTGTCGATATCGGCGTCGTACAGTGGACTTAATAGAACGTCCAGAAAATTTGGTTCGAATTGCACTCTTTCGTGAATTTGATACCACGAAGAAAACACAAGCCATAATTATACCCAAGAAGATTCCTTCAATAAATCCAAGGCCGGCCATAGCAATCACAATAGCTACAATCGTAATGTATTCAAGATGGTTGACAATCCCCCAGGCATCTATCAAGGCTTCTTTCACCAACTCAATTCCTAAATGGAATATAAGTGCGCCCACAACCATAACTGGGATGTATCCAACGATCCATGGTCCAACAAAAAGTACAATAGCGGTTGCTGCAGCAAGCATCAATCCTGCTACGCGACTGTCTCCACCAGATTTGATGAATAAGACGGAATTGGTATACACCAAATAGTCTATTTTGCATAATAAATGATTTAAGTAATTAATTTAAAAGACATATTAAACATATTAAACAGCTTCAAATTTTTCATATCGATCCCTTCCAATACACATACTTTGAACGCTGCCAACAAGACCAGAAAACATATTTGAAAAACCATGAGCCATTAATTCACGATTTGTATCCACATTATCTTCATTTAACGAAACCCCCAATGCAGGTACATTAATCGGAACATGCAAAATACCTGAAAATATAAAAAAAAAAAAAATATACAAAATAATTTAATAATTTAAAAATCATTTTTTTTTTTTTTTTAAAAAAAAAAAAAAGACAAAACAATTTTGAATAATTATATAATTCATATACCAAAGAATGTTAAAGCAAACATTGCGGGAACAGTTTGTATCAAGGCATTCCAATTTATTTTTGTGAAATCTAAAGTTATGTAATAAGATCAGACTTAAAAATTGATGTGCCAAAAATTCAAATAAAATTTCATGATAAATTTCAATTTACCATAATATGTGTAGAAATGCCACCACGGAACATTTCCTCCCGGCAAAGGAAATACCCATCCCTCATCTCTCAAATTTTGCCATTCAAAACCAAATATATAAACAGTAAGATAAAATAAAAGTGGCACAATCATGAAATAGAATGGAACAACAAGAGGATGAGGGAGTCTTGAATGGAGGAATCTTAAGAGCACTGCCAATCCAAGTGCCGAACCCCATAAAGCAAACGTATGCGTGTCAAGAAAAAGTATTTTGAACATCTCCCATGAATACGATAAGTTGCCATCAAGACGAGCCGCAACCTCAATTGCAGTTGCAATAAGAAACCACCCAACTCCACCTGAAATAAATGTAATTTTTCTTTAAAAAGAATACATAATTATTATAATTAAATATGACCAAACATACCAATACATCCAACAAGAATATGTCTGGGGAAAAACTCAATTAAGGAACCAAGCTAATTATGATTAAATGTTAAGTTAGAATTGAATCATAAAAGAATATAAAATTAATTGCAAAAATTGTTTTTTTTTTACTTTGAATGCCCCCATTAATAAGAACACAATCCCAGTCAAAACTGAACTTAAAGCAAATGATAATATGGTTGTAGGGATTACTTCATCTGGATTCGCTGCTCGTATAATCGTTTCTGCCCTAAAGTGATTTATCTTATTAATAAATTTTAGGCTTAAAAAAAATTACACGGTATATATGTAATTAGAATTTATTTTACTTACATAATATGTAGAAATGGTACGACTAAAGAGTATTTGATTTAAATTAATAATCTCACATAATTCACGTAATAAACAGAAATGATTGAATATCAAATATCTACCTTCTATCATCATACTACCATTGCCTCCTCCAAAAATACTAAAACCTCCAGAATAAATTACCTGAGATACGATACAACTGCAAATAGAATAAATGGATAAATAATTGAACAAAATAAAGTTAAAAATAGTTAAATCAATTTACCTTACAAAGAACATGGAAATTCCATCTGGTCCAAAATCAGCAAAAATGGGATTGCTAATTGGAAACGTGATCATACCTATTCCAAAAAAATTCATCATTAATATAAATCTAATTTGTTGCCACGTAAACGATTATTCATACCATAAGATATAGCATCTAACAAATTCAATAGCAATCCAAGAATCACAGCCGGAATATATGATAGTGGATTCAAGACAAATTCTTTAAATATATTTTCTGAAGTAATTTGAATTCTTGGTTCTGGATGTTCTTCATAATTATTTGGAACACAAGGTAACCATGTTTCTAACCAAGATTTTTCTGCCCAAGGATCATCATCGATCGAAATAGCATCGTCGCCTGCATTTCCATAATTCTGATAAAGTTGGTTATTAAGTAGTGGTTGTGACTCATTATAATTTACTTTTGATGGACTTATGATGTTATCCGAAGTCCCTATGTTATTATTATTCTTATTACGTGATTCTTCTAATTGGGCAATTGCAGCTTCGCCTGCTGCGGCAAGTGATGGTGGTGGTTTCGATGTTTGTAATTCTGGTGGTGTTGGAGTTTTTGATTCTTGTTGTAAGAGCAAAGATAAATTACTTTGCTTTGGTGACTCATCTTTTTTATTATCAGACTCAGACTCTGGTATATTCAAGTCACCTAGCGCCAACGTTTGGTTACGAATTCTTGAAGACGAAGCGGAATAAGCCGGGTTTCCTAATAAATAAATTATAAAAAATTTTTGAATATAAATAATTGTATTATCGTAGATAATTTATTTTTTTTTTTATTATTTAATCTCATTAATTACTATATAGATACTAGTTCGGCACAAAGCGTTATCAATGATGATCTTGATGATCGCAAATTTCCCGATCTGATATAAATTAAGATGATCAGGCTTAAAAACCAACAATCATGTTAGATAACAGCAAACAACATTGTTCGACATGAACGATTGATTGGAGATGATTTTTTGTATTTTATTTTTATTATTATTATTATATTATTATTATTATTTTTTTTAACCATTGATCAAGGAGAACTTTTTTTTTCCAAAGGAGTCAATGAATGAAAAAAAATGCATACCACTTTCTAAATAATTTTGTGTACTTAAGAAAGAACGAGGACCAAATCCGAAATTTGGACTTGTTGGAATAGAAGTAAACTGAGATAAAGCAGAACTATAAAACGAACGACTTGAGCCAACAGATTGCTTTGCACGAGGCGAAGCAGGACTAGCAGGGGTATTAACTATTGGAAGCTCTTGATGAGACCCCATATTAAAACAATTTTACGAGAAAATAAAATTTCAAAAGAGAAAAAAGTAAACCAACAGAAAAATTGGGAAATGGAAATTTCATTTACTTTATATTAAATGATTAGATAAAGTTTTAACCTAAAAAGTAACCTTACAACGGAATATTGTATTTATTATATATAGATATAGATAACAAAGATCATTTGAAGTTACACAGAAATTGCGGAAATTTGTATCGAAATTCCGGTCAAACACGCAGAAAATTTGTGTGAGTAAATTGCATCATTGCATCATCAATTTATATGAATTGCAACATATTTATTATATTTATTATAATAGAGAATAAACCTAAATTATTTAACTATGACTTTTTATGTAATTAATGTTTAACCCCCCTGTATGAGATCACCATGCTGCATTTGCTGCATTTCATCCAAATCCAAAACTGGTTTTTTTATTTATGAGTATTCACAGAAGTATAATTTAAAATTTTTGCCGCGCCCACTTCAATGTTACATATATATTCATTAAGAGCATTAAAGAGACAGTTTCATTTAAAGATACGGTGATGTCCGATTAAACCGCTTTTTCCTATTAATCTCTTGCTGCGGAAATTGATTCCAGAATCACGTAAAAATGGGTCTTCCCATGAAATTATTTTAAGAAGGAATGAGGGCCCAAAATAGAAATATTTATTCGATCGAATATTCGAAGTGAATATTCATTACTGCGCTCAAATAATTTGTTTTATAACTAAAATTTAATTAGGTTGTAAATGGTATAGTTTAACTTAATGGTTTAACAAATAAAGAACAAAGAAAATTAATAACAGTTTTTATATGGCAAAAAATGAAAGATAGTGAAAAAGTTAGGAAATGAAACTTCAAAAACAGCAATACGGGATGATTAATGTTTCATCATCTTGTATACAAAATGAATTGTTAAAAAATATCTCGTAGAATAACAAATTCATATTATTTGTGTTATAGAATTGCACGCGCTTTTATAGATTAAGATTAGATTGATTGATTTACAAATATTAACATCAATCTTATTTATGCTTAATCTCATCTTTTAACTGAAAAAATACTTTCAATATCCTTAATATTATAATATTATTAGAAATATGTATAATAAATTAATATTCATTTACCGGGAAATTTTGAATTTTAAACTGGTGATCCATATTTAAATTAAAAATTCTTGAGAGAAAACAGGAAGAAAAAAAAATGTAACTATTTAAATTTTTATAATGATAGCAGTGAGAAAGAAGAATAATATTAAACCCCATAATTAATGTGTGTAACAATCAAAGAATCGATAAATTAGCGATTGAAACAAAGCGAAATAATTTTGGTGGCTCGTTATTCGTAAAGAAATTAATTTTTTTTACCCACATACAAAAGAACCAGATAATTAACTGGTTTTTAAGGAATTTATTAGTTCGCTAAAAAATCGTTACGTGAAAGTTACATAACTTTGAAGCACATCATCGTTTAATTTGGGCAGAGTATTGGCTATTGACTGCGGATTTTGCGATATACTGAATTTAGGTTAATTACAATTTACATAATCCCCATAAAAATGTCACACACGGTACTATTACGCATTTCTTTCTAAGCCACATCCCATATTTGAAATAGTATTAAGTCATGTGATTTGAAATATTACTAACTTTATGTCTTTTTATAAAAAATAATTAATATTACGTAAATATTTATGCATATTATTTATATATAAAATTTCACTTTATATTTATTACTAGTAATTTATTTAAAAAATAAACTTAAATATCTGTTATATCATTACATTGTTTATAAAGAAGAAAAGGTCAAATAAATATAAATTCCATAATTTTTATATAAATTGTAAGCTATATGCAACAATTAATTATAATAATTTTGTTTTTTTTCTATTATAAAATGGGTTTTCATTTTTATTACAAATACATACATTATGAATACTAATAAATTGCTAATTTAATATTATCTTGTAAATTTTTAAGATGCAGTTAAAATCTGTTAATAAATATATACAGGGTTGAATTGTACTGACTAATACAATTTAATACTATATATACATACTGTATTATACTGAATGTTTGAGCTGATATTTTAATATAGTAAATTATATATATGCAGTTAATTCTATATAAGAATTCAACCTTTTTAATAAGGCATATATTTTTTATAATCACTTTATCAGTAATTATAAATATAATTACACTAAGAAGAGTTACACATATCATGTAATATTCAGTTTAATATAAACTTACTCCTCTCCCTCCCCCTTGTTAAATTTAATAACCAATCAAATTATAATATTTATAAATCATATAATTTTATTAAATGTAATGTAAGATTTTGGTTACCCCCTCCCCCCTTTAATAATTACATAATATATGCAAGCTTCCTAATTGCCAGTTTTATATTATAATAATATATATAAATTCTCCTTTATATAAATACACAAATTATATGATTTGATAAAAATACATGTAATCTGCACTCTAAATTTAAAAAGTTTTTATTTTATGAAAAATTATTATATATAATATCTTTATTTTATATATTACAAATTTTATATATATATATATAATTATACTTATTTATATATAAAAATACCAGATTAATATCTTTATCAATAAGTACATTTTATTATAATTATACTATTGAATGGTTTAAAAAAAATAATTATAAAGAAAGTTAACTGTATATAATTTTTTTATAATTATAATAATTTAAATTAATAATAAATAATTTTTAACCATTTTTTTTATTTTAATTTTAAAAATTTTAAATATATATAAAGATCAATAATAAATCAGCAAAATAAGCAAATATTTTCATTAAAATTAATATAAAATTAGTTTATACTCTTATAATTTATATTAAATAAGCAATTTTTTTTTTATAATATATTATGTATTTAAAAAAATTATTTTACTTTTTTGTAAAATTATACTGCTAATTAGTAGAAAAACATTAAAATTTCAAGGTATGATATTATTAATTAGTAAAAAATTATAAAATATTATACTGCTAATTAATATAAAATTAATAGAATTAAAAAATTACCAGTATTTTTATTTAAAAAAAATATATAATATATGTAAAAATATATAAACTGTATATATTCATTTATATATTAAATGATAATTTGTATAGATGTAGTTAATATATATCAAATATAAATTAATATTTAATGTGTATTATCTAAGGTTACTAGAGAAATTAAAGGATTTGGCAAGTTGGTGAAATGCTAAAATATCAAAACTTTACTAAAATTATATAAAAATCTTATTAAAAAATTAACGAAACTTTAGAGAAAAGTAAAACCTAATAAAACTTATTATAAATGTTGAAACTGCTAAAATTTTACCAAAATTAATTTAGTGCTCTTTATGAGCCATTTCAAACTAAGTAAACTTTATCCAAAAAGGCAAACCTTTATAAATTTTTACCAAATTCTATTAGCTAAGATTATAATTAATTAATTAATAAGGCTTAATGAGATTTGCAAAGTTTAGAGCTTTAGATCTTTTTAAACAAGGCTTGAATAACTTGAAATGGCTTATAGAAAGCAATTTTGAAAAAACTAATTGTAAGATTTTAGAAAAATTTAAATAAACAACTTTAGTATTACCTAAAATTACTTATTAAAATTAAAGGATTTTACAGAATATATGCAAACCTATTAAAATTAGTTTTGCAAAATTACTTTAAAATACAAATATTAAAACTGTCTAAACTTTTAATATTTTGCCATTATATATTATATAATATATTTAATATTAAGTTTTAACAATATATTAGATTAGAGATCCTGGGCGAAACTGAAATATTTAGTCATTTGACTAAACCGAAATAGTTTAGACATTTAAAATTAAAGGACGAAATGCCGAAATTCAATATTCCATAGTATTTCCATGGATTTTTTATAGATTTCCATGGATTTTTAATTATAATAATTACTTATAAAAAAAAAAAAAATAAATTTATAAAAAAATAAAATATTTTAAAGAAATTTATAAAACTATTATATATATAATATAATTTCATATATTTTTATAATAAAACTATAATTTTATATAATTAAAATTTAAACTTAAAAATTATTACTATATAGTTTAGTCAATGACGAAACAGAAACTAGTTGGTGATGAAACCGAAATTTTTGGCAAAAAGAGTTTAGCCAGGTATCACTATATTAGATTAATATTTTTTGATCAGTTTTAATATTAGTCATATAATTTATTAAACTGATTTAATTTACTTTAATATTATTACAAAAAAAATTTTACTTTCATGTAATTTTATAATATCTGAATTTTAATTAGCACAATACATTTATTTTTTTTAAAAAAAAAAATTAAAAAAAAAACTGATATTTCTTTTTAATTTATTATTTTACAATAAATATATTTGAAAATAATTCTTATTACTTTATTAAATTTAATTTTAATAAATAATTAAATAAAAATTATTAATATTTAGAATTAAATATACTATTGTAAAAAATATTAATTACTTTATAAAAATTTAATAAAAATTAATATTTAAGTAAGAGGATCTGCTTATTTATAAGATAGATTACTCTCAGATCTAAAGTAAAAATTATATATAAAATTCTTTGCAGATTTTACTATAAAAGAAAATTTTATATTATATTATTATGATTTTTTTTCTTTTTAGCTAATTAATTAATAGAATTTAAGAAAAAAGTAAAGTAAAAATCATTAGTAATAAAAGGTCAATTTTTTACGGTAACTTTTATTATAAGTAAACAAGTTTTATTTAAAGGTTTATTTTATTTAACAAAAGTACTAAAATCACTCTATTTGAAAAAAACACTTGAAAAGATCAGATAGGTTAATAGGAATTAATAGTTCAATTTCAATTATAAAAGATTAAATATTTTTAGAATATATTGATGAGACAATTTATAATATATATGAAACAATTTAAAGTAGTAAAAAAGAAGAAATGTGAAAATATTTAATTAATATAATTAAATTTAAAATTAAATATTGAGAATTCTTTTTATAAAATTATTTGCAAATAAAATTATT